ATTCCCATGCGAGGTTTTTGCGTTCTTTGAGATTGTTCCGAGTGCACCGATCATGATTGGTATCACGGTCACTTTCGATGCTCTATGGATTCTCTTAATTTCGAATGCTAGTTCTTGACATTTTGCTACTTTCTCTTCCTCAGTATTGATGATGTTCTGGTCCGCTGGTACAGCTATGTCAATTAGTGTCCACTCCTGTGTATCTTTCCGCAGTAGAGTAATATACGGTCGATTATGATTCGGCTTCTTATCTGTGTAAACAGTCATGTCCCAGGCAATTCGAACATCTCTGTTCTCTGCGACTGCCAATGGCTGATGGTCATACCACTTGTCGGTACATTTTATCCCGTACTTTCTGCAAATCCCCCAACGCACCCGCAGGGCCACTTTGTCATGGCGTTTTCTGTACTCTCCCTGGGCAAGCTTTTTGCATCCACTGATAATATGTCTTACAGTTTTAGTAGAGTCTCCACACAATCTACACAGAGGTGTCACTGAAGTCTTATCTATGCTGTGCTTGATCGAGTTTGTTCTTAAAGCTTGTTGTTGAGCAGCTAGGATCAGCCCTTCTGTATCCTTTTTCAAAAAAACATTCCTAAGCCATCTCCAGGAATCTTCTCCAGCTACATATGCTGTTTGTCGCTCAAACTCACCGTGCAGGTCTTTCTCCTTCCAGTTCCTGATTTTCTCCTCTTGTCTCCTCTTCTGGTAGTCCTGGAGGTTCTCTTCTTCATCTAACACCTTCTCCTTTAAAGCAGCTTGAAGCATCCACTCTGTGGTCTCTCTGAGATAGCCATGCAAGGATTTACTCTCCTTGTTTACACACTCTTCAATGCTTATCAACCCTCTTCCTCCTTCCTTCCTTGGCAGGTACAGTCTCGCAACATTACTTCTGGTGTGCATACATCCATTCATTGCCATAATTTTCCTAGTTCTTCTATTCATGCTGACCAGCTCTTCCACTGCCCAATCCACAATATCTGCACTGTAACGTACTACACTCACGGCCCATGCGTTGATGCCACTGATCATATTTCCTCCATTCAGTTTGGATCTGCATAGCTTTTTTACTCTTCGCACATACTCTGATGTTATCTTGCCTTTCATCTTGGTATTAAGAGTCTTATCTAACTGCAGGATGCCAAGGTATTTATAACCTTCCTCTTCAACTTCTCTGATCGTCTGGTAAGTCTATTCCACTGCTGCCGACCTGTCTTTCTCTTTTTTTATTATTATTATTATTATTATTATTATTATTATTATTATTATTATTATTATTATTACTCTTATTATTATTATTATGATCATTATCATTATTATTATTATTATTATTATTATTATTATTATTATTATTATTATTATTATTATCATTATTTTTATTATTGCTGTTGTTATTGTAGTTGCTGTTGTTTCTGCTGCTGTTGTTGTTGTTGTGCTGTTATTATTATTGTTATTATGATATAATAATTATTATTTATTAATTATTATCTTTATCATTATTATTATCATCATTGTTGTTTTTATTATTATTATCATAATTGTTATCATTTTCATTATTATCATTATTATTATTATTATTATTATTATTATCATTATTATTATTATTATTATTATTATCATTATTATTATTATTATTATCATTATTATTATTACTATTATTATTATCATTATTATTATTATCATTATTATTACTATTATTATTATTATTATTATTATTATTTTATTATCAATAATCATTAATATTATTGTTCTTGTTTCTATCATTATTATCATCATTATTACTGCTCTATTTTTTATCATTATTATTATCATTGTTACTACTTTTTTATCATTATAATCATCCTTATCATTATAATTTGTTTAGTCATTGTTATTGTTATTTTTGTTATTATTAGTATCATTATTATCAATATCATTATTATCATTATCAGTACTGTTATTATTATCATTATCATTATCAGTTTTATTATTATTATTATCATTATTATTATTATCATTATCACTATTATTATTATTATTATTATTATTATTATTATTGTTATTATTATTACTATTATCATTATCATTATTGTTATTATTATTATTATTATTATTATTATTATCATTGTTATAATTATTAGTAGTAGTAGTATTGTCCTTGTTATTATCATTATTATTATCATTATTTTTGTTGTTATCATCGTTAATATCAATATTATCATTATTGTTATTACCTTTTTTATTATAATCATTATTATTATTATTATTATTATTATTATTATTATTATTATTATTATTATTATTATTATTATTATTATTATTATTATTATTATTATTATCATTATTATTATCATTATTATTATTATTATTATTATTATTATTACTATTATTATTATTATTATTATCATTATCATTATTATTATTATCATTATTATTGTTATTGTTATTATTGTTATTATTATTATCGCTGTTATTTTTATCATTTTCATTATTATCATCATATCTATAATCATTATTACTGATAATATTTATGTTATTATTATTATCATTATTATCATTAGTACCAGTAGTCACAGTAGTAGTAGTTTTTGTTGCTGTTGTACTATCATTGTTATTATCATTATTAATGTTGTTGTACCATCATTGTTATTATCATTATTAATGTTGTTGTAACATAATTATTATTATCATTATTATTGTTCTTGTAATATCATTGTTATCACCATTATTAATTTTGTTGTACCATCACTGTTATTATCATTATTATTAATGGAAAAAAACGTGAATAATGAAGATGAAAATAAAGTTTTGCCGAAGTATCCCCTCCTCCAGCTGTTGCGTCATGAGGCTGAACTTATGTAAACAATGTCCGTGTTCGAGGTTGTGAGGTCGGCTTGTCATCATCGCCTTTACCGCTGTTATTGAACAAAATACGGGTTGATGTGAGTTGGATTTGGGTTCATTTTTGGGGGGGAGTGAAGATAGGTCATTTTTTAGAGGTAATTTGGAGAAAGAAGTGTTATTTAACGTCGATTTTGGGGGGTTACTTCCGGGAGATAATGTTTTCGTAGTCTTGCTTTTTTTTTTTTTTTTTTTTTTTTCATTTTCTTGGGCCTGTATTAATAAATCTGAAGATTGATACAAACATCACGTGCGGTGGTGAATTTAGCATTGTACTTGTGTATTTGATTTAGCCTAATTTGTTATATATAAGTATATGAGTATACTTACTGGTAGTATAAAGATGAAGGAGGTAAATATTGACAAAATAGAGACATAGGCCTATATTTAGATATTTAGTGTTAATGTAACAGTTTCCTTCATAAGTATAGAGGCAGTTAGTAAGTTGTGACACTTTAGTATTAGGTCTATATTCCTGAAGAAGCCAGGTAATTAATGTAAAAAGTCAAAAGAAGAATTAAATAAATATTATATACCTCATGGACATGATTTTCCTCGTTATGCCCTCCCAAAAAAATATTAAAGAAAAGCTGTGAAGAACTCGTTCAAGTTATCATGGTAAACCTGGAAAAAAATATCCTAAATTTAGAGTGAAAGAACTATGAACTATTTTTATGATTCAAAATAGTGGACTACCTCTTAAACTACTAACCATGTTATACCTAACACTTACCTTACCAGACCTTACCACATCATACCTTAGCTAAACCTTATACAACCAGATTCTAAATATTATAGTGACAAGTTAATACTATTCTAAGTAATGTAAATTGCTTATGTAGTAGGATGTATATTTGAGTTAAAGATAGGATGTCAGAATTACCTATAAAAAAGAAATCAAAGGTGATTATAGCTTCAATGTGTTCTTATATCAAGTAGAAATTCAATAGAATTATAAAACTTTGGTCTCATCTTTATTTAATTTTGTTCTGTGCTATTTTTTTGTCATTATATTAACATGCCATTGCATTTTTTTATAATAATCTGATCTATCAGGATTTTATTGATAATTTGTGGTGGATTTCCCTCTAAATGTTATTGGTATTAAGGTTGAAAATATTATGTGATCTTGAAAATTAATTTGTTTCATAGAGTCTAATAGAAAGAGAAAAATATATTATTATTAATATTTAACAAAGCATTTTGGCTTTGCTGGTAATAATGATATACTGTAATATCAGGAACTCATGATTTTTAATGAACTAAAGAATATTGCTTGAAGTACTGAAATTTGAGGAGAAATCAAAATGTACAGATAGATTTAAAAAAAATAAAAAAAATCAATTAATAAGGAAACATAAATCCCTTGAAGCAGTCAAGTGAAACCACCATTGTACATTTTGGTGACATTTTTCCATTCCACAGTCATAAGTGCTGTATTGGATGTTCTGCATTACCAATTATTCCTCCTTTTATACCCGACAGATTTAGTCACAATGTATCGACGTGCAGCTTGCAATTTTGTGCGCCCCCTTTGGTGTACAAGTCAGAATATTGTCAGAAGATGTGCAACAGAAGCCCCCGTTGTGGTAAAGAAGAAGCGGAGAGTTTTAGCCACAATCGGGAAGGTTCTTGGTGGCGTGGCTGTAGCAGTGCCAGCGGCTGGGGGGGTGTACTATGCATTCGCTGATGACTTGACCAAGAGGCAGATGAGGGTCACGGTTGAGGGAGTAGGGAGATTCTTCAGGTTGGTAGAGCTGCGGCTTTGTTTTCCTTTTTTCTTCTTCTATTTACTTTTTACTTTTTTTTACTATGTTACCATAGTGATTTAGTGATATCCTATAATATATTCATTTGATATCTTTCTTGTCTGGTGGAATTGGTTTGTAGCATCAGTTATGATACAGTTCAGTTTGTAATTGTATTAGTAGTTGTATCAAGCACAGCTTTCAGAATGGACATTTTTTTATATATCAATTAGTCTTTTAACTTTTTTCAGTATAACTATTCATTATACAACATTTTACAAGATCTTCTAAATGAAGAACTATGATAATTTTAGAACCTTAATGCAACAGGAGTTTGCGTATTGGCCTGATGATCTCAGTGGACTACAAATGGTCGACTTATGGCCTGGACGAGGACAGTGATCTTTATTCTTCAGCATTATCGGCAGCTCACCAGCGATCAGCTGAGCGAATTCTCGATGGTTGTCTCAAGGTAAGAATAGATTCTGTCATGATGCAACACTGTATGGAATATGAAGCACTAGGAGAGGTTGGAAAAACAGTGGTGTTATTGCTATTGACTTGAATATTTTACAGAATGGTGGATTGTATGTAAAGCTGGGCCAGGGGTTAGTGTCCATGAATCACATATTGCCAAAGGAATATCTGGAAACATTAAAGGTGAGTTTGTAATCTGTGGCACTTCAGAATTACTTCATAGTGATATGTGTGTAAAATTTATTTAGTAATATAGTAAGGTTTGATGAACAAATATGTTTTTATTAGTACAATTTAATAAGCTGGTATTACTTTTTAGTTTTCCAGTATTGGTATTGACTATGTAATGGAATATATTATGTTCAACTAGAGTGTAACATGAGTAGTTTCTACCTTTTCTGATACATTTTAATTTAATGAAGAACTTTCTTATGTCTTTTATCAATTTGTATCCCATAGGCTCTGCAAGATAGATGTCTCAACCGTAAATGGGATGAAATTGGCACACTCTTTCAAGAAGACTTTGGGTGTTCACATAAAGAAATATTTAGTGAGTTTGATGATGAGCCCATTGCAGCAGCCAGTTTAGCCCAGGTGAGAGATGGCTTGTCTTTGTAATCTTATAAGTTATGCAGGTTTTGGTGTCAGTAATCCATGATTATTAATTGTAATGAAAGAAATGAACTGATCTCATAATTTAAGAAGTTTGGTACCTTTTGCTATGAAAAAAAGATAAAAATTTAACATTTCTCAAACAAGTGTAATCTTTATGCTTATAAAACTATGCAAACTTTATTTCCCAGGTATTCCGCGCCAAGACACACAGTGGAGAAGAAGTTGCCGTCAAAGTGCAATACATTGACCTTCAGGATCGGTTCTGGGGAGACATCACTACCATTGAGCTGCTCCTGGAGATCATACAAATAATGCATCCAAAATTTGCCTTGAAATGGGTTCTCAAGGTAACAGATTTTTGTATCTTGTGTGACTTTGGGAGAGCTTTTGTCATCACAAAGTATGTTGTTTCAAATGTGACCTGTAAGATAACTATTCAGTGTAAAAATCATATTTTTCGTTAATAATTTGATACGTTGATAAAATAGTGATCAAATATTTTCTGTCTCCCATATTTCATATTGATTTTATATTCTCTTGTAATGTTTAAAATTTGCTATTTTTACATTTTTATCCTTTTACCCAGGACCTGAAAGGTACCCTGGAGCAAGAGCTGGACTTCATTAACGAAGGCCACAATGGGGAGCGCTGTGCTAGAGAACTTTCAAAATTCAAGTATGTACATGTTCCAAAAGTCCACTGGGATTGCTGTAGTAAGGTAGGCACAAACATTGTACTTTTTATTCTTGTTGTATTATTTATTGATGATTATTATATATGTTCCCTGTTTCCAGGTTTTATTTTTTTATTTTTTTTTTATTGATGGGTAATGTTTCTATTGTTGTTTAGGTGTAGAGCTGTTTTTTTTTTTTTTTTTTTTTTCATTGTTAAAGACTTTTTCTCATCATTTTATAGTGTTTGTTTGTCAAGAGCTGGGACTGATTAAGACGTAGGCTTTTCAACATATCCTGTTGACATTGTATTTACAAATAACACAAATAGTATCAGGTGTTCTTAACCTGGGGTTCATGGACCTGTAGGAGGTCCATAGATGGGTTTCAGTGGGTCTGTGAGTATCAGATATAAATTAACATTTATGTTAAAGTTTTTTAGACTATTTACTTTAAAGTTTAATAATACTTTGTATGTGTCATATACATTTGAAATTATCAAATTTCAGTACATAAAGTACATGATACACATTGCCTGTAATTTTGTGTTTATGTGCATAATTCTGGGAAAGGGGTCCATAGTTTTCATTTGATTCTTAAAGGGGTCCATGGCTCGTAAGAGGTAAAGAACCACTGATTTATATAATGTCATATTGAAAGAGTAAGATATAGTTAGACTGTTTATGATTAGTTTGGTAAAAAGAAAATTTGATGAGAAAAGATATATTCTTTACTATATACTATTTTTTAAAACAACTCTCCTACTATGTTGCTTTCATATATAGCCAGAATATAAGTGGAATTGTATAGAAAATAAGTAATTTATGCAAATAGGTACTAAAAGTATCTTATTAGTTTATGTTGACAATCCTGCATCTCTGAAGCATTTCAGAAGATGAAATGTAACTGCTTGATAAGATTAGATCTGTGACTCTTTCATGCAAAGTTTATAGATACTGTTGTCAATAATGATATACCATGATAATTATTTTTCAGAATTTATATCCTTTAAACTTTCACAAGGACATTTACAGCTAAAGAATGTTGTAATGCCAGATTCAAGATTTATTAGAGAAAAAGAAAATGTTTGAATGAATGCATATAGTTTCAGAAGCAAAATCAGGCTAAAGATACCACTTCGAATGTAATGCTTGTATACTGACTGATACACATCTGTTCAAATCTATTTTTTTTTTTATTATTCAACAAAGATTTTTAAGATGATAAGCATCCACCAAGGCTGATATCTCTATAACTTTACATCAGAAAACTTTACATAAAGTAAAGTTTTCTGATGTAAAGTTCTCTAGAAATTCCTGATTCATATGTCATAGTTTCTCATAGTTTGATTTAATTAAATGACTTTGTATTATTCCTGATGTTCTGATTACATTAAATTAAAAAGATGTTTCTGCAGGCAGCCCATGTAATTTACGTTATTATTAAGTGAAAGCATGAACACATATACCAACCTAACCAAGCAAAATCTTCCTCTTATAATTTCTTTCATAACTAAAGCATAATGCCTTAGTTAATCAGTTTCAGAAGTTTTGATCTAGGGATATTGTCATGAAACTCTAGATTTTATTTAATCGGTTGCCCAATAATCTGATGAATGTGAAATTGATTTTAATTGAAACGGTTTTATTATTAGATTGAATTGTAGATATAATGCTTCCAGAGAAATGTGCCAGAATCAGTAATGCAAGATTGTTTAGATCATTCAGTCCTTACAGCCACTGTGTGCTGTGTATTTTATCTTTTAGTGCACGAGTCTAAGTATATGAGAGGGAAGAAAAGAATAAAGGTAATTAATTCATTTGTCTCTTCTCGTTTTTCTTTTTTTTTCCACTCCTCTCATCTTTTCTGATTTTACTTTCATTATTACTTTTAGATTTTTACATTTCTTGCTACTTTCCAGCTTTTTCTCTGCATTGGTACCAGGCTAGTGCTAAAGATACTAGTTTAGTTAGGTTGTAGCTGTGTTTAACCCATTCGCCACGGATTTATGTTCTGTCCCCTGTTGGTTTTGGTGAATTTTGCTACCTACAGATGGCTCCACATGTACTCAGCCGGCAAGGAGTCTATCAGTAGGCCCTAGTTACCGACCCTGATTTTCCCATTCATTGAATTAGCGGGAAAATTTATATCATTGCTTTCGATGCTGTTATTATTGTTACTGATGTTATGATGATTGAATTGTCATTAGAATATTTTTGACAATAAGATGATACAAAAAACCCTTTCCGAAAGTGAAGGAAAAGGCTAAACAGGTGAAATAGGTAGTTCTTGATAACTGGCTATTTGGTGATTAAGAACTTGTAGAGCCATCTAGGTGTAAATACAATAAATAAACGTGTATCAAACTGGGTATGGCATCTATTCTTGCCAACCGCGGCGAATGGGTTAAGTTCATGTCAAGTGAAGTCTTTGAGTTAACTGTTAAAGATACATCAAGGAATATATGAGTAATGTCTGAATAATCTCTGCTTACAGAGAGTTTTAACAACCGAGTACATACACGGCTTCAAGGTTAGTGATGTATCAGGTATGGAGAAGGCCGGAATAAATATCGAAGACGTTGACAAGAAGCTCATAAATGCGTTTGCCGAACAGATATTTCACACTGGTTTTGTCCATGCTGATCCACATCCTGGTAATGGTAAGTTATTGCTTGTTATTGTTCTTGCTCAAGTGAACTAATGTTTTAGAGCCATTTTGCTATTATTTATTTATTTATTTTATTATTTCATCTTTTTCTTCTTCATATTCTTTTTCTTCATCACAGCAACAGCATTTATTGACTGAGACTTACACTTGATCCTATTTGACAAATGTGCAGGCTTTTTACCTATATCTTCCTCTCCTTTTGTCCTTACCTTTGAGAATATTGTCAGTGTAGAGATCATTGTATAAAGATGAACATCTTATGAGTTTTTTGGGCCATGTTGCAAATGTCCCTGAAACTTCTGCATTTTCTGATTGTAATATTCATATCTAAAATTGATCTGAATTGCTAACATATCAGACTCTTCAATACATTTCAATGGTTTGGTATATATTGTTAGTAAATGTACCAAATATCATGACAAGTATGATTAGTTCTATATTTTCCTGTACACATATATTTTGGTACAATATTAGCAGTATTTTGTGTATATGTGTGTTTGTGTGTCTGTATGTGTGTGTGTGTCTGTATCTGTATGTGTCTGTGTGTGTGTGTGTTTCATGTGTGTGCACATTCATGCATGAATATATGTATATATGTCAATATGTCAGTCTGCTCATTTTTTGTTCTCTCTCTTTTCTTACGCAAGTCCTGATTTTCCAGTTTTAATTCGGCCAAGCAAACGTGGTGACGCCGAGATTGTGATCCTTGATCATGGTTTGTATCAATTCCTCCCAACCAGCGTGAGACAGCCTCTGTGTCGATTGTGGAAAGCTATTGTGGTTGGAGACCATAAAAACATGCAAAAGAATTCTGCAGAACTGGGTGTACGAGGTGAGTTTTTGTGCATTTCTCTTCCACCCTCACACCCACCATATTCACAGCTTCGTTCAAATATAGTTGGCTTCAATGAAAGTTATACTTTAAGATTTCTTGCTTCA